TAATTTAAACTCGGAGGAATGATAGACACTGTGAAATGATAGGAAAACTCTCAAGGGTAAAGGGCAACTGGGATGTGGGAAAAGAGAAGTGAAAGGAGTAATGTTGTGTGTATGTATATACAGGATAGTTAACATAGTTGTTCTACTGTCTTCTATTTCTTTGCTGAAAGAAACTGTTAATCAGTCCTTGATTGATCAATATTTCATGTCTCTATCTGTTTTCATGAGAAACCACTTTGAAGATATCAGTGTGTAATACACCAAGCACTGTTATTTTCCTAGCACTTTATTTGTAACTCTGTATTTTCTGTACTGTTCTTTTGCTATTTTGTAAAAGGTGGTCTGTCCATTATTGTTTTTCTCCTTTTATTTTTAAAATTTAAAAAAAGTATGTATATGGGATCTGAGAAAGGGCCCACAGGACCAGTGAGCTTGATGACCAAAATTAACTTCCCTCTTAATGTGCATTTTTTTTAAATCGCATTTCAATAGATATATTTATTTATATTTTCAAAGAATATAATATAATATTACAAATTTTATTGCTACACTCAGAGCTATAATTATCATTCTCAATAAAAATTGTGGATAAAATTACTGAGAAATGTGCCCTCTGATCCGAGCTCAAATGGAACTCATGGTGCCACCTAGGGATGGATGGAGATAGTCCTACTAGAATCAGAAAATGTGAATCTACAGAGCTGCCACTCATTTACTCACAACAGACAGACGCTGTATAGATACAGAGCAAGCTCAAACAGTGCACTGAATCCCTCAGAACTTTTCAAGGACAGTTTATTAAGCCCATCTTCATCTGGGTTTTTAATTTTTTTTATTTTTTTGGTTTTTCTCCGGTACTGGGAACCGAACTCACGACCTTGCGCTTGCCAGGCAGGCGCTTTGCCGCTGAGCTAAATCCCCAGCCCCTTCATCTGGGTTTTATTCAAAAGTAAGTTAAAGGTCTTCCTAAAAAGCATAGCAGAAATCCATAGGGAAAATCAGGCTCCTCTTATGGTCTCATCCCTTGTCACAACCTTCAGAATAATGGGTTTTTCTGGCTGAAGAATAGCTTCCGTTCCTAATGTCAGAGGGATCTGCAAACACCAAACAAGGATATTTAGAAGCAATAAATGAAGCACCAGCAATCACAGAAGCAAAATAGAAAAGACATATAAAGGAGGATAATGGTACAAAAACAAATAAAAAGTCACTTTTAAATCACTTATCTTGGATTTCTTAAAGTGTCTAAGCAATAGTCGAGATCTGATAGTGAAGGCATTCATCTAAATGTTCATTCAATAAAATACTGAGCATCTATTTGGTAAGGGTCTGAGACAAAGTCATGTTGGCTTGTATCCATTATTGACATAAAATCTGAGGATTAAGTTTTTAAAATTCTAATAAGATTTTTAGGCATAGTGACAAACTGGTTTTGATAAGCTATATAAAATTAATTTTATGTTTGCTAAAACTTGCAAGGTGATCATAAGTAGGTATTTGTTATACATTTTAATTTGGGGGCAACTTCTAAA